GTTGTCTCCATGAACGGGAAGTGATCAGAGCCCCAGGCAGTGGTCCTGAGGGACATGTAAAAGCCCCTCTTTTGCTTTAAGGAGACTGTATCTTTCCTCCTAGGTAGGAATCAGACCTGTACCAGTCTGTAATTAAATGAACCTACAACTAAGGGGGAAAAAAAGAGAGGGAGAGAGACTTAAGTGAGTCATTTAGAGCTTTGAGTGCTAAAATCTGAAAAGATTTTCAAGGAGTGACCGAGGCAGTTTTGATGGCAAAATTTACCCTGGGCCTAATCTTTTGGGTTATACCACGTGGAATGTCTGTGTACAAAGGGGTTGGAGTGATGCGCACTTTGGGATTCAGAGCCACTGCCTTTGTAGTTTGAGAGACAGTGCGACACTCAGCCCTCACCCACCTGTTCACTTGGGTTAGTGGTGTCTCCGCTCCGGTGTTGGATTTCATGCTGAGGAAAGCACGTATGTGCTTATTAATAATGCTACATTCCTAACACTCTCCTAACAGAAACCTTGGATTCAGTTAATAACCCAGGCTCTGTATCTCTCTAAATTTATATGTTATGTGGCTCCTCAGCATTATACAGTAAATTAGATTAATGTCTAGAAATGAGTGTTTTATCCACAAATTCAAATTCTTTCTCAAAGGATCATCAAGAATTCTGTTAAAAATGTAATGCAGTGAAACCACAGACAGCACCAGTCTTTCATTGAACTCAGGAACCATGCTGACTCAGCATATTATTATTACACCGAATCATTAAATGAGGGCTTGTTAGGTCTTGTCATATTTTAAGTAACTTATGATGTGTCTACTCAGCTTGAGCTTGAATCAAGTGCATCAAAGACTTTCGACTTTTCAAAACCCTTTTGAACATGAAGCCATAAATGACGTTTTTATGTAAGCTTATTTGAGACATTAGGTAATAAATGAAGTCAGCACTTTAACAGAGGCCACGTGAACAAAAATTTTAATAAATAACGAGTGAGTTCCTTTCTACTGGCTGGATATTCTGAACTGTCTGTATTAACATGAGTATCTATGGCTGTTCCCATGGGACAGTTAACGATTCATTGCACTGTCTCCTCCATGATTTTTTTCCAGAAGTTAGAAATATTTTAAATGAAAACTAAAAGCTCTTTCCTACTGACAATAATCAGTTTATCCACTTTTACTGGTCATTTTTTTTCCTGATTATTTAATGCGTGACTTAAAATTGCTCTCAGACTTCTTTCTGGTCTTTTACAGTATCTGAGGGTAAATAAGTAACACTTCTTGTATTTACAGGGGTGCAGATCTGTCTGCTTTGGTGCGGGAAGCTTCTATATGTGCCCTGAGACAGGAAATGGCAAGACAAAAGAGTGGAAATGAAAAAGGTATGATTCCAGAATCTCTGACTTCTAATCAGTTATCACTCTGGGCACCTGAAACCACTGTTGACCTCGAAAATGACCATTTTCTAGCATATCATCTATGATATTAAAACTGACATTTTTTTGAATGTCAAAAAATTTACATGGATTTCCATATTTTGAAAGGAAAGTCGAAGTATACGGAAAGTTATTTCAGTTTTCACTTTGTGTGTGTATATGTTCTAAGCTTCCCAATATAAGCTGCATTTTAACAGGAAAGTAGCTTCAGAAAAGCTTCGAAGCTGTTCTGAATATTATGTGACATCTGTGGCTGACAACTATAATAGTGAAGTTATTTGGTGCCTCTCTAAAAGTCTCATATCTTTCC